TCTTTTGGGTCTCTGTTCTTTTTAGTTATTTTTATTTCGTTTTTATATTTGCTTCTACTCTCATACCTTAGTAGTCATTGGCTATAAATTAGTAAACTTAGTTAAATTCATAACACAACAATTAATTACATCACATTTCCGTGTTGTTTGTTTTGTTTTTCAACTTGAGAATCAACATGTAACAACGTGGAACAAGATTTCTGAGAGAATACCAAGGTCTCACGATGTTCTTATTTGTCTGACCCGTGAAGATCCGGGATAGAATAGGTCTTCAACGACCCATGCTTGCCACAAAAGGCGACTATGCTTGTCGTAAGAGGCGACTAACAGGATCGGGTGGTCAGGCTCGCTGACCTTGTTGACACATGTCATCGGTTCCCAACTGAGCAGACCTATGCTCATGCTGTTGATCACTGGGTTGTGTGGTCAGATTTGATTATTTACAGACCGCCGACATATAGCTGGAATATTCCTGAGTGCGGCGTAAAACTAAAGTCACTCACTCACTCACTGCTGTAGCGAATAACAAGGGGTCTTTATTATAATAATAATAGCATGCTTGTAATGCGCTGTTTTCCATGTACAACATGCTCAAAGCGCAAAGACATAGATGTACATACAAATAGACTATAGGAGAGAATAAAAGATTAGAGATACATGGAAACAATGCAATGAATTATCGTTTACACTCATAAGCTAATCTGAAAAGTGAGTCTTTAGTAAAGATTTAAAATTAGAAAGTTCTGTACAGTCACGTAGATATTGAGGTAGTTGATTCCAGGCTGTAGAGGCTGCATACGAAAAGGACCTTTCACCATGCGTAGTAGTCCTAACAGTGGGGATAACGAGGAAACGTTTATCCTGTGAACGGAGAGAGCGACATGGGCGGTGCTGTGTTATTCGCTACAGCAGTGAGTGAGTGAGTGACTTTAGTTTTACGCCGCACTCAGCAATATTGCTACTGGAAAGAACACACTCACACTCACACATCCATAATAACGTTCCCCGTTAACAATTTAGCTCAACATTATTTCATGACGTTTATGTTTCATGCTATACATCTCTCGACGATGATATACGATCTCTTGTCCTGACTGGGAAGCAACAGGGCTACCATCGTCTCAAATGCCTCAAACTTTTGTGTCAGGGTTGAACAACGGAAGCACTCGAGACATTTATGTTATAAACTCTTTTCCAACTGACATGTTTTAGAGAATGAGGACAACTAATATGGATATACAACTTCTTATTTTGTGAAGGCGACGTTTCGACATAGATTCTAATGTTGTTGTCAAGCAACTGGTACATGAGAAGTAATTTTGGGTGATTATATACATAGGTATATACCGGGTTAATTAGGTTGATTGGAAGCCAGTCGAGAAGATGTACATACGTTGTATACAAGTGAATATGACGTGCATAAACACATGTAACATTTTAATTATGGTTTACTGCCAAATATCCTTTTACTGTGTCATTTCACATATTTAACAGATGATGTATTTCATAAAGGACAGACATCATTTTGAAATGTTGAAGAAAGTCCTTTATAGATGTAGCTTAGAAAAAGTTATCATTTGTGACGAATATATAATTCGAGTCAAGCACCCCATGCCTGACCATGGTACTTTCATCACAGGGGATATGGAGGATGTTTAAGAAATCTTCAGGAGTGTATATGTCAATAAGTGGCCAATAGGGCTTAAAATTACCTCTTCCAATCTGTACTCACAGTCCCGGTAGTGAGTGAGTGAGTTTCGTTTTACGCCACACTCGGCAATATTCCAGCTATATGGCGCCGGTCTGTAAATAATCGAGTCTGGACCAGACAATCCATGGATCAACAGCATGAACATCGATCTACGCAACTGGGATACGATGACATGTGTCAACCCAGTCAGCGAGCCTGACCACCCGATCCCGTTAGTGGCCTCTTACGACAATAATGGGTTACTGAAGATCAATTCTAACCCGGACCTTCACGGGTTACGGATCTGTAACATCTAATAACAGGCTTGTAATCGGAGTATGGTATAAAAATTGCGTCATTGACCGGTTGAGTGCTACGTTAGCAGCAGAAGCAGCCATTATTTTTCCGGAAATTCCATAGCTGGGCAACCAACAGGACACGATGTCATGTTGGCCAGCAGCAAAATTCTTATTTAATTCAATTAGTTCGATTAAGACCTGTTGATATGGCGATTGCTTCTGCATTGAAAACGGAGTTGTTATCATTCTGGTAATCGTGAGGGTATTGTTCTGGGTACTTCGTCAATATCTTTGGTTGCGTTTAAGACGGGGAAAGCTTCGACAACTGATATTTAAAGTGGAAAAATATATTTCCGTATTTACACCATACGAATAATACATGGTTGGATTTCTTGTATGCTTTTATTTGTTGAAATATACGAATATCTCTACATGAAGTTTATGTCCCTACGATGGTCTTGATTGCAACCATTCGGCGTAAATTGAAGACGCCATTGCGATCGTTCCACCTCGTGAACACCTCCATTACAACTTATCATCATATCAAACCACAGTATGTCACTGCCATAGCGTATGTACCAACATTCCGACAAGTGCTGATGGCTACTGTAAAACCGAAGAACATTCAAGCCTTCTCATTGCATAAGAATGTCTATGTTTCTGCAATGAGAGAAATGCACGTCCTGTCAATTGAAGTGGACGATGTCCAACAGCTGGTGTTCCTAGCTACGATATATCCATATGTTTGCGTCACTCGTATGACACTTCATGGGAGATATTTCAAGAACGTCACCTTTCGGATTAGAACATACGTTCTTTGTCGTGACACATGGCGAGAAATTGTGTATGTCAGTGCCCCTAAACATATGTGTATGTCGCTGGCCGTAGATCTATCTACTCCTTTATATATGATGGGGCAGGGAAAGCAGCTAATAACGAAATCCGATCAAGTGCGTGGTATGGCTCTAGGTGATAATGGGGGCGTCATGTATTTAAATGACGTACGCAAACTCATAAAATTGGAGTTTACAAAAGATAAGAAAGGAAAGGAAACTGTAATGAGATACAGTGAGACCCAGATACCCGGACCCCAAATATCCGGAAACCTCGCCTTCCGGTCAATTTTCATGAAAAAAACAATCTCTTACGTTATAAAAGTGACTGTCTATAACGAATATGCGGAAGGTACATTTTACAAACCAACCTGTTAAATCAACACAAAATTGACTCACTTATCCGCTGTATAGCATTAGGAACATTCTCTATAGTAATGGTTATTTGTGTTTGAGTGCTATGAACTTCAATTTGATCTATACAATGTATGAGGCAAATTATCGTCTCACAATTGTGGTGGAGGTTCCGAATTGATAGCTCTGATACCACAACATGCTTGACTTATGATTTTGTCTTATGACACTTCACTGTTGGGTTTGTATCTATAGAGCAATACTATCCATTGAGTATCAACTATTGAAATAATTTCCTTCTATTAAACAAAACATCCCTCAGACATGTATCTACTGGAACACGATCTGCAGCCTGAATGAAAATACCTGCTCAAGAGGTGAAGTATTTGATTGACGTTACTTCCGGTTCGGGAAGTAGATGTCAAGTGCAAGGCAATTTTAAAACTGATAATGCCCCAGGTAGCGTTACAGAAAAGTCACATACTTCAGGTTGTGATACACTGACCATCATTTGTCGTCCGTCATGCCAACACAGAACTTATTACAGTTATAAGGAGGGTGAGATACTTTAGAAAATATGATGTGACTTTGAATTGAGTCAAGTAGGATTTTACGTCACATCGGCATTATTCCAGCCATATAGTGACGAGATCAAGCCTGAAGTCATACACGTCGGCATTATTCCAGCCATATAGTGACGAGATCAAGCCTGAAGTCATACACGTCGGCATTATTCCAGCCATATAGGACGAGATCAAGCCTGAAGTCAGACACATCGGCATTATTCCAGCCATATAGTGACGAGATCAAGCCTGAAGTCATACACATCGGCATTATTCCAGCCATATAATGACTAGATCAAGCCTGAAGTCATACACATCGGCATTATTCCAGCCATATAGTGACGAGATCAAGCCTGAAGTCATACACGTCGGCATTATTCCAGCCATATAGTGACGAGATCAAGCCTGAAGTCATACACATCGGCATTATTCCAGCCATATAGTGACGAGATCAAGCCTGAAGTCATACACATTCAAATGTCAAAAAAGAGTTGTTGTTCTTTTGTGTTTTTAACTTTGTCTTTAATCACAGGTTGCTGTACCAAATTCCACTCCACTACAATTAACACGTCTTGAACAATAACGAACATAATATTTTGACTGTGATTATGAGATGTCATTGATCTGTGAAAAATATTCAAATATTATCTTGAACATAATGTATACAATGTTGAGAGAATAAAGTGTATGACTATATGCACATGGATTATTATCTGTTAATTACAGCATAACGACATAATTCAGATTCTATTGCATGTGGTAGTTATACTGATGTATAGCAAAGTTGCATGGCCGTAAGTGAGTGAGTGAGTTAAAGTTTGGGAGGATTTCAGGCATAAAGTGACTAGAAATGTTGTATATATATAATAACTACATGGTGTTATTAAAAAATCTAATCTCCAAAAGACTGAAACATAACTAGACTATCACAGATGTTGTCAAAAACTAGTATCTAACCGTAAATATTTATCATCACATTAACCATGCTATACATCGCCAGCAACTAAAGAGCGATGACCTCAATAGGGACCATGGGTACCTACAGTACTTTTGCTACTTGCATGGACACAGCTGGGTTGACATAATCCCTTATCAACTGGCAATTCTCAGCAAATTGGGGGCAAACTTGAACAAAAACAATCCAAAAAACTGTCCCTGACAGGCACTTTAATTAAACAACTAGATCCGAATACGCTAAACAGCAAAAAATAATAAATAAATGACACTGAAACGTCTGTTAACGAAAGTTTTGTATTTTTTCTAGTTAACAATTTTTGTCGATAGAGCCATTTGGTAGAGTCCACTCCACATTGCATCCACCGCAGTAGTTTGAGCTGTAACAGAATAAGACGGGATGAAACATGGAGAATGAATTTGTTTGGGCTCTGCATTAGCATCCAGCTCCTGGTTCAAAAGGCTTTATGTAATAACATCAGTGATAAGCGTTGCCGTATTTTTATTTAAGTCCATAAAGTTATACAATCTTTGTAATGTAAAATGTACAGCAGTACTATTGTACATAGTGGTCCCTAGCATGGTGATCTACCTTCAGTTGCTGGTGGTCACTAGCCCGTTTTATATATTGTATTGTCTGTCCTATTTGTATAATTTTATAAGTTACTTGCTGGTTTTACTTCTCTCTCTGTGATAATCTAGTTATTTTACTGTCCTTCGTCGACAGGTTTTGTATATTGTAATTGCGTTTATTGTTAATTTATAACTTTTTAAGTCACAATATGGCTAATATATTGCCGATGTGACTATACATTTTAACTCACTTACTCACTATTGTACATAGAATGCCGTCTTACAAGCACTTAGCTTCAGGGTTGCTGCACGTGCTCACTTCGCATGGGTCGACGAAACAGTAGACCATGGAGCTGCCGTCTGGGCACACTCGGACATTCCTACCCGACACTGGAGACAAACAAAGTGGAAGCAACTTGTACATCTTCATCATTTTAGGAAGACTCTGAACCAAGGTCTGATCCATTTACCGCCTATTTCTAGATCTTGTAATTAGCAGCACGTGTGAAGGTGGGGCCATTTCTCTATTTAACATGGAACGACATTAACCCTTAAATAGCTACACATCACAACATCTTCAGCAACACATGATTATGGTATGGTGTAACTGTAGACAGCCATAATCTGAGCATAGTGTAAGTAGATGCTCTGGTTTAGTAATTCACAGGCCATATGAATTGGAATATTTCTTGTGGCAATATGTAAGTAAGGCAGATGCTGTCTTAAGCTGCATCAAATAACGCGATGGAACTTGACAAAAAATGAAAGGATTGTGTTGTATCGGGACACACATTACCATACACAAAACATTAATATTAAAATTATGAAAAATAATGGATCATTGATTCATCGTACGTCTTGCCACGATGTCACAAATCCACACGTGAACAATTTGTTTTAACATCATATTAGTCGTAGAATCAGTCATGAATCATGTACTAAGAATGAAAAAATTCCCCCTCATAATCTTCCAGGTCAAATACATTTTGAGCTCAAATAATGAATAATAATCATAAGGAAAGGACCACACGCCCATCTTCTCCCACCGTGTGGACCCGGGCATAATCGGTCCTCAGCACCCTACTGCTGGGGGCACTCATGAAGAGCAACCTCGTGGTGAGTGCTGTAACACTGGTAGCTTTTCCCCCGTGTTGACCCCTCATCATCTCAGTTGTTGATCATTGTACTGAGATTTAGCCATCAGTTAAATGACAAGCATGCTACAATTTGAGACCCAGTAAACCTAATTTACCTGGAATGTATTGGGACTAACACGCCCTCTCAGGAGGGCAATAATTTTAAAATATCATAACAGCTTATGAGCATGATTATATTTACATGAAATTATCTTAGTTCACTAGGCAGTATACAACCAAGCTGCCTGTGAGGTCAACAGTATACAACCAAGCTGCCTGTGAGGTCAACAGTATACAACCAAGCTGCCTGTGAGGTCAACAGTATACAACCAAGCTGCCTGTGAGGTCAACAGTATACAACCAAGCTGCCTGTGAGGTCAACAGTATACAACCAAGCTGCCTGTGAGGTCAACAGTATACAACCAAGCTGCCTGCTAGGTCAACAGTATACAACCAAGCTGCCTGTGAGGTCAACAGTATACAACCAAGCTGCCTGTTAGGTCAACAGTATACAACCAAGCTGCCTGTTAGGTCAACAGTATACAACCAAGCTGCCTGTTAGGTCAACAGTATACAACCAAGCTGCCTGTGAGGTCAACAGTATACAACCAAGCTGCCTGTGAGGTCAACAGTATACAACCAAGCTGCTTGTTAGGTCAACAGTATACAACCAAGCTGCCTGTGAGGTCAACAGTATACAACCAAGCTGCCTGCTAGGTCAACAGTATACAACCAAGCTGCCTGTGAGGTCAACAGTATACAACCAAGCTGCCTGTTAGGTCAACAGTATACAACCAAGCTGCCTGTGAGGTCAACAGTATACAACCAAGCTGCCTGTGAGGTCAACAGTATACAACCAAGCTGCCTGTGAGGTCAACAGTATACAACCAAGCTGCCTGTGAGGTCAACAGTATACAACCAAGCTGCCTGTGAGGGTAACAGTAACAATACCATCACATCCTTCCGATATACATGTATTCATATTCTAGACTTTCACCTCTTTTTGAACTAAGGCAACTGCTTTCAGCGAATAGTGGCTGAGGCCACAGATAAACATAAGTGAAGCTTATCTTCACCTGGTCTGGTCTATGAAGGGCCAAGTCTCACGAGTAGGAGTGGTACCGTGTGAGCAAATTTACGCACCTTGAATATTCAGATTCCACAATCGTGAATATTACACCCCGACCCGGAATTAAAAAGCAAGTGTGTTAAATGAACCAGGTACCTGCGATAAACAGTGCCGACAAAAAGGAGCAAGGACGAGAGACTTCATTATTGCTCCTACTTTGTATCAGATCTGATGATAGTGGTCAGCGTACTGTGGTTTAACAGGCAGGATCACTGCAGGTGTGTTCAGAGGTAACGACCAATCAGTTAGGAACACGCTACCACCAACTCAGGGGACATTGCCCCTGTCATGGCTGAACTTGATACATACTGGACAAACATATATGAAAATTTTGAAATTATGAATACTGATCTATTTATTCATTGACACACTGATAAAATATCAATCATTAAAACAAAAATATCCCTAACTTATTTTGTCCAGTATATGTCGGTAGCAGGTACAACCCATGAGGCAAGAGATTCTTTTGAGAACATCTTGTGTCAGATTCTGATTCCAAAAGGTGAAGGTCATCTGATCCACAGCACAGTACACAAATCGAAAACATAAAGTACACTTTCAAGCAAAGGAGTGTGTACAAAACGCTTGCCAGTTAAAACAATAATTGTAAAGTTTATAATTGGAATAATTTTGATGCATCCAACATAGAATAAACAATTGTTGGGTATACATGCATGGCCATATTACATTTTACTGCATAACTCAGGAAATATCTATACGTCGCCAGCAACTGAAGATATATCACCATCCTAGGAACCATGGGGACAGTGCTTTTGCTACCTGGATAGACCCTAGCTGGATTGATGCAATCCGTTCAGCCGTTGGCGATTGTACTCTAATTAGCCAAACCTTAAAAAAACCCATACATTATGCGATTAAACCACGAAAGATGACAAATTCTTTCAACGAAATGGAACTTACATACCCTCTGTAGAGGCAGACGTTTTACGCAAACGTAAAACCCCCTTTGACGTTACAGCCAGTAACAATCAAAGTGTATTCATTCGACCAAGATTTACTCATTAACTACACCACCCGTGAAGATCCGCGTAAGAATTGATCTTCAGCAACACAGGCTTGTTGTAAGAGGCGAGTAACGGTATCGGGTGGTTAGACTCGCTGACTTGGTTGACGCATGTCATCGTAGCCCTATTGCGTAGATCGATTTTCGTGGTGCTATGACTTTTTCTGCTTTTAAATGACAATGTAATGAATATATGTTTTTGAAATATAACTCATTCCGAGTATGTACTTACAATGTGTATTAATGCAAACTTGTTCTCGTCACTATATGGCTGGAATAATGCCGATGATACGCAAAACCCAAGTCAACTCAACTCAACTCAACTCATCTTAACTGTCAGGGTGATTATAGCCTTAAAGAAACGGACATCCCTTAGGCTTAATTACAATATCTTTGCTGTATCTTTGAACATGTTCCTGTCAGTTGTTGAAACTATCACCGAAACACAGTCGCTATCGCTGTAGAACAGTGCCAGCTCAACAAGTAGGCGGCTGATAAGCTATGTGGGACTTTGGTACATCTTTCAGGACAGAGTGCCGCAAACATTTCAAAACCAAATCCATAAGATAAACCATGATAATATTTAGGAATTTGAAGAGGCTGGTTTGTGTACATCGTGGAGACAGTGGAGTTAAATTCATTAAATAATGAAACGTGAAAATGTCAGAAACATGGAGATATAAATGATTCAACAAGGTCGCCATGGTGGAGTGAGTGAGTGAGTTATTAAACTGACTTGAAATGTTTTGGGACTTACGTAGTCGCCATGGTGGACATAAAGTATATTGAATGTGTGCAATCTGTTTTTTATGACTTACGAGTGGGAACTATAAAGCCGATCCCGGTATGTCAATTATTGTTTGTTGTTTAACACCGCATGTAGCAATGTTCCCAGCTGTATAAATCGACTTTGGATGACACAATCCAGTGGTCAACATAACGAGCATCTACCCAACTACTGGGGTACGATGACATGTGTCAACCAAGTCAGCGAGCCTGACCACCCGATCCCATTAGTCATCTCTTACGACAAGCATAGGTGTTAATAAAGATTAATTGCAATCAGGATCACCACGGATGAATGCATGTTGCTATAGTGTATATAAATGATTATGAAAGTGTGCAATCAGCTTGTTATGACTAACATCATGTGTGATACCAACATGACCATATATGGAATTTTCCTTCTATTGACATTTTAGTCCTTGAAACTGTGTGACGGGAAGACTGAGTGAGTTTACCTTTACGCCGCACTCAGCAATATTCCAGCTATATGACGGTGGTCTGTTAATAATCAAGTCTGGACTAGACAATCCAATGATCAATGCATGAGCATCGATCTGCGCAATTAGGAACCGATGACATGTGTCAACCAAGCCAGCGAGTCTGACCACCCGATCCCTTTAGTCTCCTCTTACGACAAGCATGGGTTACTGAAAGCACATTCTAACCGGGTCTGCTGGCCATAAAGAATCATGAAAGTGTGGAATATGTTTGTTATGACTTACATCATGTGTGGTGCCAACATGATCATATATGGAGCTTTCCTTCTGTTGTCATTTTAGTCCTTGAAACTGTGACAGGAAGACATGCAAGTATACCACATTCATAAGTTGTTTTTGTTTAAATAACGTTTTGCACTTACCGTTCAATTTTACATAGTTGTTCCTACATACACTTGCACTTCAAGATTTTTGGGGAACTGATTTCAGTCTGGTGACGTTTGGATAACATTTGTAATTGTTTGGTCATTTTTGCCAAGTACATGCGTCTTTTGCCCGGTAGTGTACAGACAAAGTGTAGTTTGTATGCGACGCACAGAGATAAGCTGCTTCTATACGTCACTGTTTGTTCAGTTCAAGATGGCGGTTTCTCATGTCCTTGCGGTCTTTGTGTTGCTGGGAACCTGTAAGTATTTCCAAACAAAATCAAAACAAAATCTGTTGAAATGTACAGTTACTCGATATAAAAAACAGAAGGAGAGTGAAAAGAAAAACAAGTCTTGAATATCCTCAGAAAATATTTTGGTTGTGATAGAGTGAAAAATGGATGTGAAAATTGGAAGTATTTATGTGTGAGCTAAAAGGATAAGCATGTCCAGCTCGGTAGCACACGCCCTGCCCAAAATGTGCCTCAAAATGTAAGTATTTATGGCCTGACGCCGCACAGCACCGCTCTTGCCTTGACATCTGGAACAGATAGCCCAGTGGTTAAAGCGTTAGAGCGTCACAGAGAAAATCTGGGTTCGATTCCCCAAACGGGTACAATGTGTGAAGTTGAATTGTTGTATCCTTTCCATGATATGTCTGCAATATTCCTAAAAACGGCGTAAAAGTAAACACACTCACTCACTCACTTACATCACTGAAACAAGGGCCAATTGTCTCTCATGTGTATGAAAGAAACTAAGTGTTCATTTCAAATGTTTCCAGAAAGCCATTATAACTGTGAGTTTTAAGTTGACAAGTGATATTTTAATGACACAGCATATAACTACTTACAAAACCTTCATGTACTGGAGACACTTATTGGGGAATTGATGTCTGATGTCAGCTCTTCACAATGTTTTCATTTTTGTATTATATAAATTGTTTTCGTCACGATATGGCCGATGTGACGTTAAATATTAACTCACTCACTCACTGTCTTATGTCAGCTGAATAATGTCTATCACTGTGTTTTTTAATCTAGTGGTCTGCAGCATTCCACATTCTCGAAGAGGGAGTTGTCTTCTCCTTTGTGGGGATTCTGTCAACAGAGGCTGCCCCACTGGTTATGCCTGCAAGTCGAATGGGTGTGGGGCTGAGTGCTTCAGGACAACATACACACAACCTGCAGGTAAGCACTGGTAACACACTTTCATAATATTAGCACCCGTGAAGAATTGGACTTCAGCAACCCATGCTTGTGATAAGAGGCGACTAAGGGCATCGGGTGGTCAGGCTCGCTGACTTAGTTGATGCATTTCATCGTATCCCAGTTGTGAGGATCGATGCTCACGATGTTCATCACTGGATTGTCTTCCTCAAACACGGTTATGTACAGACTGTCGCCATATAGCTGGTATATTGCCGAGTCCGGTATTCTTTCACTGTTTACAGGATGTATGATGTACGTTCGCTGATTACAGATTTTCCGGTATTCGGTCACTGAATATAGATTGTCCGGTATTCGGTCACTGAATATAGATTGTCCGGTATTCGGTCACTGATTACAGATTGTCCGGTATTCGGTCACCGAATACAGATTGCCAGGTATTCGGTCACTGATTACAGATTGTCCGGTATTCGTTCACTGATTACAGATTGTCCGGTATTCGTTCACTGATTACAGATTGTCCGGTATTCGTTCACTGAAGATAAGGTTTCTCCTATTCGTTCACTGTCATTATGTTGTCCGGTATTCGTTAACTGTTTTCAGGGTGTACGGTATTCTTTCACTGTTTTCAGGTGTCCACGTATTCGTTCACTGTTCACATGGTTTCCAGTACTCGTTCACTGTTTATAATAATAATAATAATAATAATAATAATAACTGGCCATTTATATAGCGCCTTTCCACGTTTACAGGGTGTACGGTATTCGTGCACTGTTTTCAGGGTGTACGGTATTCGTTCATTGATTACAGGGTGTCTGCTATTGGTTTACGGTTACAGGGTTTTCCATATTTGTTCACTGTTTACAGGGTGTCCGGTATTCGTTCACTGTTCACACAGTTTTCACTGCTTTATTTTCCTATATTGTTTACAGGGTGTCCAGTATTTGACTGCCAACTTCGCTGTCCACTGGGTTACGTCAGAGACTCTAAGGGCTGTGAATCCTGCAAATGTGACTATTCCGCTTTAGCAATAGGTATGTCAAGAAATATAAAGTATATTTGATACGCGTAAACAGATGCATCAAATTCCATGTATAGTCCGTTTGGGTCAAAATCGGACCGATGAATTGCAATCTAACTCGAAAACTAATAAACATAAAATACTCAATGAAACACTGATCATAATGAAAACCTCAGACCAACTCCGTGAGGTTTTTTGCAGAATTTATGTCCTAAATAAAAAAAGTTGTTTAACAAACTATCATTAAAATATCGACACAGTTCACTATTTGTTACGAGGGAGGAGTGCAGAGAAAGGGACAGCCAGGTGTGCGAGAAAGGATGG